AGTGGAATGAATTTGGAACATGACTGTCCTTACATGGAAAAAACAAACAGAGTTAAGGCATTCAAATATCCTAACTAATGGATTATCATAAACACACTGAGAAATTATCAAAATTATTTTTAAAATCAAAGCATAGAGGTGATTTAACATTTAAAGTCTCTATACTCAGATACATAGACAAGTTGACTCAGAATTTTCCTTAAAACACATGGATGTCCAGTGAGATTCTTTTCCTTATAAAACTTTCCCATGTTGAAGTAAATTGATAAAATAAATAGTCAAGTTAAAGTTTCAGATATAAACATAAAAATATCTTGCTTAACTAGACTTATTTACTCTGCTTCACGGAAACAATAGTTTCCATGAAAGGGTTGGAAAACTGGTCCAACGTAGCGATGGAAGGGTAAATACTGTGTGCTCCTGCAGCCTCATCACTACGTAACAATAAAGCCTGAAAAAAGGCTGAAAGAAGTTGAATGGCAATGAAAGAAAAGCATCATCATGCAAACTGAGGGTGGCACCAGATGCTTATGTGCAGAGAAAATGAAATATTAAAACAGAGAGACATTCCTTAATTTTCTTTTTACTCATACTGACCTACAAATACTGATTTATGATGATACTAACCAAATCATTTTGCTAAGTCTCATGTTTAATGGTAGTATCATTTAAATTAGGTTTTAAAACAACCTAAATTAATGTAAAACCTGAGGTACTTCTTAAAGTTTCTAACAAATTCATAATGTGTAGTTTACTTTGTATCTGTATGCCTCAAAACAGGTTATGAGGCAGCTATCATGCACCTATAACATAAAACTAAACTACTCATCTGATACAAAAGTAACACTTTAGTATACTCTCATTTTTGCAATTCCTTAAGTTACTTACAAAGTAATAAAGTGATTGTTAACTGAGACTTCTAAAACTGTAACTCCTTCTCTGGTAAGGCCTTAAGTTCCAAAACAGTGCTAATACATCAACCCAGATTTAACAAAGAATATGTAGTCATCATCCAGAATTACTGTTGGTAAGTATGTGTCCTTGAATAGCAACGTGATAGTTGGATGATTGTGCAGTCTAGGCCCCTAACATTCCATGTGTCAGGATTCTGCAACAGTAATTCTAGCATACACAAATTAAGATGGAGCTGGTGACTTTTCAATGCTTATTTAGGAGACACTAAAAATGCAATGCAATTGCTAGCAGTTCCCCAAAAACCAGTGTTGGAGATACAAATATGGAGTCACACACACGATTATCCAGTCCTTCCCAGGTAAGAACAAGCTAGGCCACACTTTGTGAAGGCAAAGCTTACTTACTTACTTCAGTCTGCTTCCTTTGATCACAATGTAGAAAGAATAGAAATGTTCATGGTTTACCAGAGAGAGATGGAAAAAGAAAAAGAAAAGGAAAGCAAAGCCTGCGGGGGATGGAAAAATAAAAGAAACTTTACCACTACAGGAGATTTGTTATACCTGAGCTAATCCTTTCCTATCCGTGGGCTACTATCATCCATAGCTTTGAAAATCCAAATAACTCGAACGACCCATTTTCCCAGTTTTGTTAAATTAAAGTGGACGTTTACTTGCTTAAAATAGCCATATCTAAGTTAATCATACTCAGATGCCAAACAAAATATAAACAATAAAAAATGTGTCAGCCAAAAAGCTACAGGGCTGTGTCCAATCACTGAATGCCCCTTATCATTGTTTTCATCTTCATTCACAATTTATGAATGCCGCAGTCCTTTTGAATCACAATGGTTTCTAATTGTCATACAATTGAAATCTTAATTATTTGTTCATTATAAAAATGCATCGTCATAATATTAGATTTTAAAAAACTTTAAGACAACCAAAACTAGGCGACAATTCTGTTTCACTTTTATGACAACGTCAATTTAAATTTTCAATGACCAATCTAGACTCACTCTTGAAAGTTGGACCTAAACTGTCCCATAACTTTCAAGGTTGAATTAACTGCTGTAAATTAACAGTTCTGGACTAAGCATTTAAGTTATCACCAGTTGATAAGTTCGTCGGGCATCCACGAAAGAATGAAAGCGCGCCCAGGTAAGTCGCTAGATCTGACCACTTTTTCATTTTACCATATCATTGAAGGGATAGGAAGTGGTTTGGTTTTTTAGGTATAAACACAGAATTTTACCTACTAACATTTGTTCCTTAGGGCAAATTACCAAGTTTAAAAAAAAAAGACCTTACTTTTCTGATACTACTTTATGCCTTGTGAGCTATGTTCAAATATCATCAAATGAACAAGTCTCACTTTTAAAACAAACGTGTCCCAAAAGTCCTAAAATTTCACTACAAACAACTCAACTCTTGTCAGCATAAAGATTGCCTCTGAAGTGAGGTCTCTAAAAACCCGAAGTGTGGATCACTGTAGAACAGGGCTTTAGGTCCTCAAATACGCAAAGTAATAGGTCCTCTGGACCACCACCTAGACTGGCGGCGTCACCCGCCCACTGCAGGCAGCAGAGTCCAAAGGTGCTCAAGCCTAGTTCTCAGCCCCTAGCCCAAGAGTCCCTCTACAGCTGCTCCCAAGCCAGAGTCTGCCCCACGCGCAGTGGCCAGGGAGTGAGGGTGCCGCCGCCCCGCCGCTGTCGCCGCAGGCTCCTGGGGGCCGTACCCGGGCTCACAGCCGCAGGTCTCCGCACAGCCCACCCCAGCAGCCTCGCCCGCCCGGTGCCGGCTCTCCCCGCTTGGGCGCTGGGATGGGCGCACACAGCAGCCTTGGTCCTGCCGCCCGCACAGCCCTCCGCAACTTCGCACTACTTCTCCGGGAAGACCAGGGTGTGCCAAGGTTAGGCAAAGCCTTTGAGGGTCTGCAGCACAAGAGCAAGAAGACACAACAAAGGCGTCTGGGGCCAAAGAAAGCTCGAAAAAGCGACCAAGATAAGTACCTGAGTGAGACAGATGGGAGAATACATCATGACTTCGCCTTAAAACGCACTTTCCCGGAGATGCCCAAGAAAATCTTCGAGAAGCAAGGATTTCATCTATTCATTTTACAGTCATCTGAGCCCAGCGATGCGATCAATCAGGACGGGGCTCTGCGCCGGATCACCGCAACTTCGCAACAAACCCAGTCCTCCTTAAATAGCCAAAGATTCAAGTTCACTCGGCGAGCTAGATTTCCCGGGGTGAAATCCAATCTACACTTTTAACCCTCTTGCGGTCCGTGCGCGCCGGCTGAGCTCTCCGAGGCCGCCGCCGGTGCAGGCTGCTGCTCGCCCAGTTTAGGGGATTTGTTTTCTGTTTTGCCGTTGTTGTTGTTGTTGTTGTTGTTGGGGGATTGGGGTGCGCGAGGGCTCGGTGTGGGTTGGATTGGGGTGGTGGTAGGTGGTGAAATACTTTTTTAAAAAAAAGGCGGGGAGGGGGGCGCAGGAGGCCGGGCGGTGGGGAAAGCGAGGAGAATGTGTCACCGCGCTGGGAAAGTTCAAGGTTACCGCCGCCAACACTGCAGCAGGATCCGGGAGTGGCGATGGCAGGCGAAACTTTGCCGCGAGCCGACCATGTGTGTGCGCGAGGGGGAGCGCAAGCGAGTGCGCGCGGGTGGCGGGGCGCGCGCCGGAGAGGGCCGGGTGGGGGTGGGGAGGGGGGAGCAGGGAGAGGCCGGGGTGAGGGAGGGGGCGCAGGCGCGGAGCTCCCGGGCGGAAAAGCCTTTGCTGCGCTCCTGCCCCGCCGCACTGCCGCCCGCCCGCCTCGCCCCACGTCTGACCCGCCGAGCGTGGACTCCGCTGCCGGTGCCGCTGCCCACAGCCCACGGAAGGGATCAGAAGGACCTCCTGAAAAAATCCCAAACGATCGATCCCGCTTGGCTGCAAACTCCTGTTTTCTGTTCTGGGCGCTTTTCCCCCTCCCTCTCTCGCTTTCTTTCCTTGAAAAACTTGCAAGTTGAAAGATTCACCGGTTCCACCCTCTGGACCCCGCTGGAGCTCTCTCCAAATCAGACTTAAGGATTGTTTTATTATTTAATTACACAATCACCGCTTTACTCCTCCTCCTCCTGCAAACGCGCGTTCCTTTTGCACCAGCCTCTCCACACCCCCCGCCCCCCACCTTCCTCCTCCTCCCGCGCGCCTCCCCCAGCCCTCGCGTCTCTCCCCCTCATTTGTTAAAGGTATCAGACCAGTGCCACAGTACTGGGACTTTTTTTTTTCTTTCAAAAATAGCTCTTCTTTCTGAGTCCACTCTTCATGCACACCCCCTCCCCCGAAAACCCGCCCAGGGAGATAGGTTATTTCACTGCTCGCTGCAGACGCTGAAGCCACAAGAACATCTAATGGTAGAAGCCCTGAACCGGCCTGGGCCCAAGAAAGAAACGAATGGAAAATTCCCTCACAGCCAGGCCGCCCCAAGCTGGGGCTAGGGCGCCGACTCTAGCACCCCAGGCGGCTGGAGGGAGAGAGAGGGCGGAGGCGGGGGCCAGAGTGAACTTGGCCTCCTGGAGTTGGAGCGAACCGGCGCGGAGCCGGGGGGCGCGGCGGACAGCCCAGTCGGGAGCCCGCACTGGCGAGCGAAGAGGGGCGCCGGAGTCCCCGGGGTCCCCCGAGCCTCGCGGCGGCGGCCCGCCCTCCCCCGGGCGCCCGGTGCACGTGGCCGCGCTCGGAGCGGGAAGGCCGCGCCACCGCCACCGCTCGCCCCTCCTCCTCCTCCTCCTGCCGCGCTGGCTGCGTCCCAATCCCCACCCCCAGGGCCCGGGGCGCCGGCGGAAAGCGGCTCCCTTCCCGCGGGGGTGCGGGCAGGGCGGGGCCGCGGCGCGCCCGAGGCTGCGGGGCGGGAGCGCGCGGGGTGCGTGTGCGGCTGCGGTTCTCCCCGGCCGCTCCCGCCGGCGCCCCGCCCCGCCCCCCGCCGAGTGAATGAACTTGATTCCCGGGACCCGAGAGGCGGCCGGCCAGCACCCCCATTCGCGCGGGCACTCTCTCCCACACACACCGCCCCCCAAATTCCGGGTTTCCGCTAGGGGTGGGTGGGGAAATGGAGGAATCAAAGGCTGCCCAGACAATGGAGAAAGAAAAGTGAGCGCCCGGGGCTCCGTGTCGCCCTAGCTTGGGGCCCGCGGAGCGTTTCCAGGCCCCCCGCGGCCTCCCGCTCCCACCCTGCGCCCCGGACTTTCCCCCCTCAACTTTCTCTAGTCCTAACACTCCTGACCACCGTGCCCTCCCCCAGCGGACCTGAAAGAACCAGTGACTTTTTCCTTCCCCAAGTGGAAGTTACCCACATCAAGCATTTCACAACGACACATCAAGAAAAGTAGGCAGGTTCAAGTCAACCATGAAATGGTCACTTTTTAACCCCGTCCTGTCCTCATTAGGGAAATGCTCAAACACAGTCCGTTTTCAAAAAGCGCTCTTAATGAGGCGAGCTTGCCAAGTCTACCAGCTGCAGCCCCTGTAAACCAAGAGCCCGGTGAAGAAAGGCGCAGGGGGTGGGGAGGCGGGGAGGGCGGCGGGTCTAGGAGGACAGGTAAAGTCGGGGGGAAACTGTGAGAACCGGGGCGAGTTAACCCTTTAGGGCACGCGCCACGGGGAGCGGCCTCCGTGCCCCCGCTAGGCAAATCCTCTAGTTAGCGTTCTGACAACGTTAATTTCCTTTGTACCGGTCATTTCTTCTTGAAAAGCTGGGATAAAGTTGACAGTCTTTATAGATGAAAGGAGGTGACAGTCGGGGTTAATCCAAATAAATACTCACTTCTCTCATAAATTTTAGCCAACCTCATCTTAACTTTTAAAAGAAACACGGGAAGGAAAGAAAGAAAAAAAACGAACAATCCCAAAGCATCACTCTGTACTGAGCTGCATCCCTTTTCTCACCCTCACCAGAATCTGCGGGAGGGGGCGGGGACGCTCCACTGATAATACCAGCTTTAACTACTGGAGTTTCCCTTTGAACAAATATTCAATTTAACTGGAGTTAATTTACCATAAAAGACATTCCCCTTGGCACGAATGCACTCATGTCCTTGAACACACCTCTTTGAATGCCTGGACTCTTACAGAAGCCATTATTTCGGGGTCTCTTTAAAAATCCAGCGCCCATCTCTCTGCTTCCCTCCCTTCCTCCCTCCCTCCCTCCTCACTACACCACCCCCAGCGAAATCCTGGCACCCAGAGAGCACTCTTTTTCAGCCAGAGCCCAGAAACAGCCGTTGTCCCCTGGCAAAAGAGGCCCAGTGCTGAGCCCTGGGCAAGTGTCTCCAGACATCCCTACCTTTTCCCCCTTCATTAAGTTTTCTTTCCCAACAGAACCCATTTCCTTTGCCACTAAAACTAGGTTGCATCCAAAAGTTTCTCACAAGCTTAAAAAAGAAAAATTGACACCATTATACAGAAGAAGTCACAAAAGCTGCAGAGCTCCAGGGCAGAGAAGCAGCGACAGACACAGGTAAGAACCCAGAGAGTCCAAGATTCCAGGCCTCCCAGGCCCATCCCTGAGAGTTTCGGCTGTCTCTCAGGTGTCTCATGTCTGTGTTTGTACAGTGCTGAATACGGCTGTGGTACATGCTGATGGCCATAGGGGATGCTTTGTAGTTTGGGGTTTTGATTTGTTTCCAAGGGAAAAAGAGAAACGGAAGAAGCAATAACAGTGTGGTGAGGAAAACCAAAAAGGATCGAAGACTGAACAATAGATATCCGGGAAAGAAGGGCTGGGGGATGCTGGGTGTGGAAGAAGGCTTTGACTTTCAGACCTTGGAGTCAGGGTCAAGAAGGCTGACACTCCATGGGCCTCAAGCTCTGCTGCCTGCCCAAAGTTCAGGTCACTGTAGGCCTTCCCAGGAAGAACCCTAAGAGAATGCTCCTGGGAAATCTGACCTCCTGGGATCTCTGCTTTCTCTGGCTTCCCTCAGCACTCGTCAGGCAACCTTTGCTTTGAGAAACACCGATCTTTTTAAATCCAAGGAGAAGGATAGAAAGGATAGCTTATAAAGTATCTATGTTTTATAAAAGTAGGTTTCAAGTCGCTCTACAGAAAAGTTTCTGATGCTGTCAAAATGGGCCAAAAGAAAAAAAAAAAAAACAGACTTTGGTCCTTGCCTCTGCTCTGTCCTCTGCTCTCCTGTTCTTGCATTGGGGGCTATGAAAGGTCACCTACATTAATCTCAAAACCTGCCTGTGAAGTACTCTCTCAACAACAGGGAGATCTGTTGCCATATTTCTAATGATCTCCTTGGATTCCTGATGATCTCTGCTGCTACATTAGGGGAAATTGTCTTTTCTGACAAAAAGTTTATTAAATTCTAAAAGAAATGTCAGGGCTTTGAATGGGATTTCAAAACCTAACTATATATTTAGAAATACACATTGCCACTCAGTCTGGGTCTTTCTCTGATCTCTAGAGAGGAGTTTGATATCTCAAGTATCTCTGATACGGATTTGTTTTGTTTTGTTTTGTTTCTTTTTTCTTTTTAAAGAAACTGCAGAGACAGATTGCAAAGCCTGGGCAAATGCAAGTAAGGTTTCTCCCAGCTTAACAAAGCTGTCATTTCCAATGTATACCACTACTACTTTTATTTTTTTATCCCTTGCATGTGATTTGCAGGGAGGTTCAACAATCCTGTAGCTGCATGGCCAGTATCAATGTTTAAAAACTAAACACAAAAGAGACAGGTGACCTTCTGACCCCAGGAAGCAAGCTTGCAGAACTGCAGGTGTCCACTGTGTCATACCCAGGGACCTTTCTTTCCTCCAAGTATAGCCTGGAAAACATAGATTTATATCCACCAGTCACAACACCAAAACCGTCCCCCCAAAAATGCATATATAAACAGCCAGCAAGTGCTAAGACTGCCTGTGCATGATAGAAGCTGCAGAATCATGCCCAGCTCTCTGAGCCTTTAAACTACTACTGTCAAATTAGGGGAGCAATTTTTCCCCACTGGAGAATTCACAACTGGTTAGTTTCCCCACCTACTGCCAGTCCTTTGCTTTTCAACTGAAATGAATAAATAACCTTGGACTTTTCTTCCCTCCTCTGGGAGCTGTTTGGTCTCCCCCGAGGACAAAACTAAATGAGAAAAAATGACGCTGTTAATAATGCCGCTGCTGAAATGCCTGTACTTAACTATTAAAAAGAAATCCCACTAAGCATGTCTGCATCCGGGACACAGTTGTAGGCTACAACTGTGAATGTGAACAAGGACCAGTCCAAAGGCCTCCATGAAGGTTCACTGGTCACAATTTCTCTACAGAGATGAATGCAGTACAAGGGATTCCCAAGTTTGAAATCATTTGGTCCCCGGCTACAGAGTCAGCAGCTGGCTTGAAACTTTTGTCTGATTTATTTTGAAGCTTCAAAATTTCTGTCACAGTTGCCTGGCTCTGTGCACAGCACAGAGGTTACACACACACCGGTGTCTTCTCTGCTGATGCTGAAGTCTTGACCTTTGCAAAGTAGAGTATTTTTAAGGTAAAACTATACATCCTTTTATCTGGATGAGTAAACTTGCAGCTCCTCTACATATATGCTGTGACCTATAAAGACACAGACATTCAGAAAGATCTGTCTAAAACACCCAAGTAGTCTTTATACTGGAGTATTAGAGGTGGCCACAGGCCATCTTAAACCTCTGTAGCCTTTTCTCTAGTTCTCCTTTGAAAAGCTGCTGTTCAGTTTCAGAATCAAAATAATGCACAATAAGGGGATTTTCTCACTTACATTTCAAATGAAAATGCAAGAAATAAAAAGAGAACATAAACAAGTGGGCCTAAACAAAGTAAATATTCAGAAAAAAAAAATCTCTGAATGTATCTGAACCATTTAGGAACACAGCAAGCTAGTACATTTCAAAGCAATGAATACTGTCAGGCTCTGTGATGCCACACAAGTCAACAAAGTTACAGATGTGTGTGACATCACATCCACTCAAAATTATGCTGCTGCTCAGTCTGACCATAGTAAAACTAAACGGATGCCTATGCCGTCTGCAGAAGAAAAGGAATTTATTCCACACATCAAACAATGAATCTGTCACCATTTATTGTATGAAACACTCAACTAATCAATTTCCTGTTAAAATAGCTTTCAACAATACTCGGCTTTAAAATTCATCAGGGCCAGTAAAAACCTTTGCCCAGTGCACAAGAATGCAGCCCCGACCACGGACGATAATTACCATTCTAATACTTTTATTGCCCAAGTGTTTTTTTTTCTCCTGTGCTCACCATCACTAGACAGGAATCTCCAGTATATTGTATCAGTGAGTTGGAGTGTTTGACCTTTGACCACATATGATTTAATAGGGACTTTTCAGCGCTGGCACTCTCTCCATCCCTCATACCATTAAATAAAAACATTAAACCTCAAATGTAAAACCGGAAACCACAACATTTTCTGCGTTTCACAACCCTTTGCAGTTTTTACTTAAGCTGCCCGAAGGTCAGCCCCTCAGCCTCACCAACAGGCTTCCCAGTACAGTGAATGCACCGGGAAGTCACTCATTCTGATTTTGATTAAATCTCCAGCCCCTCCTCACGTGCACACATGCACCCTGCTTATTTACACGTGCATTCTTTCTAACCGCAGAAGCATGCGTGTATGACTTTCTAGACTTATTCCACTTTAGGGCTGATTTAAATGTCTGTTCGAATATGGGTTCAAAAGTTAACGCCCCCCCCCACTCCCGTTGGAAGTTATAGTTACAAAGGGTGCTATAAGACCCGTTCAAAGAAAGTCAGTTAATCTTGTGTATTTTGGCGCCTTTTCTCTGCCAGCTACTGTACTTGAGGGGGTAAGGAAAACCTGGAGATCTTGTCTGTCCTGTCTCAAGTTCTTCCAACCAGGAGGGGAAGATGGCCATGTTCACAGCCCTAATAATAATTCAGATCACGCCACCTCGGCATCTTGTGTCAAAGTCGAAACTGGCTTCCCCGCCCCCTTCAACCTGAAAGCTGCCAAGTCTTCACACACTCCGCATTCAACCACAACTTAATGGATGGGATATTGTGCATTAAAATGTGTCCCAGACTCACTGTGGAAGAGGACAAGGGAGAAGGCAGACCCACAGACAAGCACACACAGACTTAGGCAGAGGGGGATCTTAGGCTAGGGCAGAAACCAATGGGGTGGGAAAAAGACGCATTAACAGGAGCAGGAAGAAATCCATCATAATCCTTTTTTTTTTTTAAAGAGTTGGGGGTGCTGGAGAGAGAAGGGCTAACAATTCCTTACTGAAACGGGGTGTGGACAAGTGAGCTAAACTTTAGAAGGACACCAATTTTAAAAGTTCTTAACACACCAATGGGAGCTAAGTAAAACTTTTTTGCATTTGAAAACGCATTTTAAATAAGAATATGGAACAAAGTAGTACCTAAGCGTGAAGTAGTGTGCTTTCATTAAAAATAAAAAAGAAATGGACTATATAGGCAGCTAAGTATTATTTATAATTTTTACCCCAACCATAAAGGGAGAAGGGGAGAAAGTAGAGCCAGAACAGAATTGGCTGGGGTTGGGAGTGGTTTGCTGGATTCCATACTGTTTGGATTTAGTATAAATCGCTGGTGCCCGCCATAAGTGTGCTAAAGTTGCCAACGCTTAGAAAATACGTATTTATGTTAGTTCTGAAAATTCAACACCATCGTTCAGTCTTTAAAACAAAAATACGGCCTTGAGAAAAGGAGTAAAACAGTCGTTTTCACACAGGGACAGGAAATAAATTGTGTGCGTGGGGTTAGGCGGGAGGTTGCAAAGGACGAACACGAAATGCAAACAAGACCGATCTTTTGAAAGCCACATACCATCGCACTGCACTAAATAAAACAGATCTTGAGTCTGTACAGAACCCTGGGCCGCTGACTTTGCGTGTCTCAGGTAGGAATTTGTGGTTGTTTTTGTGTCTCTTTTTGTGTTTAGGGTGTTTTGTTTTGGAGGGTGTGTAGTTTTTTGAGTTTTTTTAAAGCAATCCTGAAGTAGTCTGATACTGTTTAAAATTATTTCTGCACGGCCACACTTCCTGGCCCAAGAAGAAAAGCAGGTTGAGGTAAAGTCTGGAAGCAGGCGAAACGCAGCTCCCGTTGCTCGCCCAGGCAAAAGACACTTGGCCAACTCTCACGCAGTGTGTGTGTGCGTGTGTGTGTATGTGCACACGCGCTCGTGCGAGAGTGTGTGTGTGTGTGTGTGTGTGAGAGAGAGAGAGAGAGAGTGTGTGTGTGTGTGTGTGTGTGTCTGCGCGTACGTGCGTGCGTGCGTGCGTGCTCTAGGGCCGCACTGTCTCGCGCGGGCCTCGCCATGCTGGGATTGGCCTGGCCGCGCCGCCTGGGCCGCCCGCCCCGCAGCCCTGCCCCGCCCCGCCGGCCGGGGCGCGGGAAGCAGCTTTTCGCTTCCGCCCGGCGGCGGGAAGGCGCGCGGGGGGAGGAGCCACGGGAGGGCGGGACCTGTGCCACGGTGGG